TAAGGACAGCAAACAGCACTTGGTTTTTATTGCTTTGTTCCATAATGCAGTGAAAAGCTTTAAGGCGTTTCAGTTCTATTTCTGGATCGTATATTTAGTGAGATATATATATATATATATATATATATATATATATATATATGATTTTATACTTATATTTTACTAAAATATAGGATTTAAATCTTTGGGCCTTCCTGAGCTCCCTAATATTTACAAATAGCTAGATGCAGTTTTCCTTTGGTGTTTTAGAACCAGCCTTCGACTCTTTTAAATGGGATGTCTGACCATTCTATAGAAAGGACAAAGTTCAAATGTTGGAGTCGTGGAAGAATGACATGCGCCTCAAGCCATCCCTGGACACAAGCAGTTCACTGCGCCTGGCGACTGGCAGGTCCTGCTTTCCTGCCCTCGAGGGCTTGGCGGAGGGAGGAGGGAGGAAGGTCAGAAGCATGGAGAACAGGCAGCTGCGTTCGGACCTGAAGGCCGAGTATCCAAGAGTTCTCCGTCTTACTATAAACAGCCCAGTCCCGGGAGTCTTGCAGGCTGAAAAGCTGTATGCAGTTCACTGCTTGTTTGAGAAATTCACCCGGTCATTTTAACATAACCACCTGTGTGACCTGTGTTTGTCCTGAAGATAATCAGAACACCACAAGAACTGTACAAGTTTATAACGCAGCAGTGAATCACCATGCGGACTTTTGATGTACATTTACTCCTCTCTTTTCTCCCACATATTAAAATAAATTTATAAGAATGTAAGTTTCTAAAGTACTCTTCAGTATCTTCAGTAGTATAGTGAGAGATTGTTACTAGTGACTTCTTCCCCCTCCTATTTTCTTTAAATGATTCTGCATTGATGATCTTAATAAATTCTGGGTGGAAAGACAAGTCTGCACACTGGTAAATAAGTAAATAGAACGCAAATGTAATTGGCTCATAAAAATTATTGATTTTTCTCCCATGAGTCTTAGTTGCAGCTTCCTATTAGAGAATAGATCAGCCACAGTTCATCCACGTGACATGTGCCACCAAATAGAAGGCAGCCAAATTCAAAGACTTGCGTTCCATTGGACTCCGCTTTTCAAAGAGTGCTCGTGGGACGGCAACCTACTTATAACTGAGGACACCGCTGATTGAAATGATATGAATTGATTTTTTCCTGTCAAACTTTCTTTAGAGATACACTATTTACTGATCACTCCTTATTGGTACACTATTTCTCTACATTGCCTTCTCATACCAAAATCACAGAGGTGGTAGTTGTTGATATTCCCTGAGTGCAGCTGTTTACCTGATTTTTCAATCACTGTGTCTTCCACTTTCCCATATAAGCCAGTGATAGACCCTTTATCATTTGGTGATGCTAGAAAGAATAGAGACTTATTTAATCACTTATCAAATTTGGAGTTTATAATTCATTAAAGATTGCTTGCGCTATAATAAATAGCATCTTTTATTATTAATCCTACATTTCCTAATCTATACCCTTGGTACAACACGCAGAAGGCAAAGGAAAGTCTCAACCAGATGAAAGCTAAATTAAGCACAAAGAGAATTAATACCTTCACAAATGCTTTGGCCGACTCACACTCGCCGTAGTCAAACTGATCCCATAGAAGTTTATGTTGTTGTTTAAAAAAAAAATTGTTGTTTGACTGAACGTGAACATTTGCAAGATGTGAGAAGGTAGAGGAATGTTAAACAACATCTCACGTTACTGAATATTTATTTTAGTTCCCACACACACCAGTTTATGTCGTTGTAAGATTTAAGATTTAACAGAAACCGAAAAATAATTTAAAAATGTAAAGCCATGCAGGGGTGCATTCAAAATTGGAGCTATTTAATATTAACTGCAGTGATTCTATGTCTAGAAAAAACAAAATCATCCATTTAAACAAGAAGAATACAATGTTGAAGCATGCACACCCCAGCTTAGAGAAAGTGTCTGGCTTAGCCCAGGTCCTGCTGCCCTGGCCAGGTCACTGTGGGTCTGCGTCTCTCACACCACGAGGGCCTCACAGACTGCCCTCACTGTGACAAAGACCCCACAGGTCCTTCATGTTAGAGTGAAATTAAAGTAAACGGTGTGATGAGACCAAAATATGTGCACCTGACAGCAGCAGAAAGGGCTGCTAACCACAAGAATGTAGTATTTTTGTTTGAAGAACGGGTTTGGCAAAAACACAGTTTCACATTTTTATTGATGTATGTTTGGGATGCACGATACTTACATTCATCTTGGGGACTGTGGGTTTCCATATGCATATTTAATCTGTATCTATACCTAATTTATGCCTATCAATATCTGATGTATATCTACATCTACATCTACAGCTAATCTGCATCTACACCTAACCTGTGTGTATACCGAATATAAATCCATACCCAACATCTACAGCTGTGTCTACACCTGATCTATATCTAGTGTGTATCCGTATGTAATCCGTATCTGTACCTAATCTATCGCTCATCTATGTCCATGCCTACGTCCACATCATATCGTCTCTCTGATGGGTGACTCCACGCCCGCACCGCTCCCTTCCATCCTCCCAGAGCCCCCTCCTCCCCGGAAGCCGTGCCTCCAGAATCCCTCCCATCTGACCAACATTTTCCTCTTTCATTGACATGCATTTTGTGTTTCCCGTATAACAGGAACAATGCTGTACTAACTTTCTGTGTTGACTTATTTTATTTAACATTTTGATCTCAAGAACCGTCCATTTTCCTGTAAATGATTCAAATTCACTGGTCTTTACAGCTGAGCGACATTCCATTGTGTATGTATGCCCTGTTGTCTTTATCCATTTTTATCTGTTGCTGGGCATCTAGGAAAATAACAAGACCATTTATTCGTTTGTAATTTGTTACCAGAGTGATTCCATGCCTTGAATTGTCTATACTTAGAAACCAATAATTATACCCAAATTATTTACAAAATTCGGCTTCTAACAGTTTTCAACCAAAAAGATAATTTCATTATCTAGAATTATGGGATAGAAACTTATTCTTTCATTATTTAGAATTGAGGATGTAGAAAAATAAAAAAGAATATTTCATTGTTCTTAAAATGAAGGACCTTCTAAGGATGTTACTTTAGTTTGACATTATATTGATATTTAGTATTAACTCGCATTATTGCGTTTGGCATTTATGTAAATCAGCACACCTCTATCTCCGTATCCCTTTAGCATGCATAGTTACCTTCATGAACGAGCTGGCACCATGGGTAAAGTAGGCTGAAACGTGTTTGTGCCTGCATCACCTGGAGTCTGCCTTCCACTGTGGCTCTGGAGGGTCCAACACAACTGTGTGTACCATGAACTTGTAGGACAGCTAAGGTTTACTTGTTTCCTGTTCACCCTGTTCCAGGTCACTTACAAGCATTATCTAATTTCACCTTTACAATACCTTCTGGAAGATGCAGTAATAGTCCCATCATCCATAAAACTGAAGGAGCTCACCTCTGAGCAAACATCCTCTACCCTGAATTGCATAGTTTCTATGAAAATTTCTTTTATTTAGGTTGAGCTGGTTTTTTGTTTTGTTTCCTGCCTGATGACACTTTAGCTTCTCTGGTACAGGAGTCGATCATAATTTTAAGAAGTAGAAAGAAGTGAAGGCATCTATTTGATAAGCAGATCTCTTCCAATAGCCAGTCAAGCCCTGGGCGCTCCCAAGAAGGCGCTGCTGCCTAGGATGCCCAGGCCTCCCGTCCTCACAGCCTGACAGACTTTGCATAGCGTTGGTCTCCTGCCATCAGCTGTGTGCTGGGGAAAGGACCACCATAGAGACCTGGGTGTCTTTAGTGCCCTCCTGATTTCTCAGTCTCTCTCTCTCTCTCTCTCTCTCTCTCTCTTCCCCCCTCTCTGTCTCTCTCCCTTCCTCCCTCCCCAATGGGAGCTGATGCAGGATTCTATTGAAGAATTCTCATGAAATATTAAAGAACTTCACTTTAAACTATTTGTCCCCAATTTTTGCAATGATTATAGTAGTTTGCCATGCATAAAGTTATGAATGCCTCAAGCAAGCTATAACAAGAAACTCTGGTGAGATTTCCTGGAGGTTGCATTTGCCTACCTTGTAAGTGTGGATGCCACTTGGTTCCAGTGGCAGGAGGTCTAGGGCCAGTCAGGAGGCCGGTAGGAGCACCAGGACAGGCCACGATTTCCTTGAGACAGAGGACATGAGGGGTGGGCTGGTGTGACTCGGTGTGTGGGCAGATTAGACCCGCAGCACTAAATTAAGTTGTCTGAGGCTAATTTTGTACTGTGACCATGCACTGCCAATACAGTGGAGAAGCAGCTGGAGCCAGGGGCCTGGTGCTCAGTCCGACACTCTCCCTGGCGTGAGGCCCAGGAAGAGGAAGGGTCGCACTATCATTTTCCCTCTGTGGAAGGAGTTCTGCCTCGCGTGGACTCCCATGAGTGGTTCTTGCTAAGTGTGCCCTGGGAAAACCTAAGTGTTAACGCAAGATACTGTTGTGGAAAAGCCACAATATTCTTATCCCATGGGGATGGGGAGAGAGATGCACCACAGACTTTAAAACGCATTTCCTAAAAGCGCCAAGTCAGGCTCTCTCTGTGTGTCAGCTCCAAGTACTTCCCAAGGATTTCTGCACTGAGGATGTGTGAAGCCCTCCAGATGGAAAGAAACCTGAGCAGCCTGGGAGGCTGTGCTGTGTCTCCCCGTGCCTGGGTCTCCCTGCGCCTGGGTCTCACCCTTCTCCTAGCAACCCCTCCTAGAGTATGACTATGCCTCAGTTCCTATGGACAGGGCTCTGTGACCCGCTTTCATCTCCCTGTCCTTTAGGAGCGTGACTTCTCCCATGTGAAATTAGCCAGCTCAGAGAACATCTCCCTGTTCAGAACGGTCCCTGCAGCTTCTTGGTGCCGTGATGTCCTGCTGGGAGGTGGCCGCAGGCAGGAGTCAGATCACCCTGTACCAGGGTCCTCTGGGCCTCGTGTTAATTAGCCTGTGTCTGTTTTGTTGTCTTGCAGAGATGCTGGAGTCCAGCAATGTGATCTCATTCCACGGCCTGGCCAACAGCTCCAGCTACCACACCTTCCTGCTGGATGAGGAGCGGGGCCGGCTGTACGTTGGGGCCAAGGATCACATATTCTCCTTCAACCTGGTCAACATCAAGGATTTCCAAAAGGTAGCTTCGTGCCCATTCGCTCTGTTCACGTGCACCACAGCCCTTTAAAATATCTCATGCTGTGTGGATTCTCTAGCTATTTGGAATCATGATCCATTACAGAAAATTGTTCAAAATTAATATTTTAGCTTGAGATACAAATGAAATTGATGGCAATAACAAACCAATAGATTTCATAAACCATCAAAATCAGAGGAGACACTACCGAGCTTTGAAAGATCACTGTAAGAATGACCAGCTCCCACATAGAAGTGTGTGCCTGGGCCACAGTAGACCATCATAACCGAGGCAGGTACCACGCACATCTCTGTGTGCAAATTCACCCACCTCTGAATGGTCATCACACACAGGGCTCCTCTCAGTTATCTGGAGCCTGATGGGACACACCCCTGTGAGCACAGATACATTACATCAGCACTCTGATCATCTGCCTGTTCTCTACATCTGTCCTGGGCCCCAGTGGCAGAGTGCAATAGCTGTGGTGATGACCAGCTGGCCCAGAAAACTAAGAGTATTAAATACCTTGCCTTGTAAATGAAAAGCTTGTCAATTTGAACTAGCAGGTGAGTTTTTGAGGTAGCAAGATTTTGCAACAATAGTCATTGAGACTTCAGCAAACATAGGTCTTATCCTTATTTCTTATAGTGTTTCCGTCTTGTTTCATTAAAAATCTATGCAATTTGGAAAAAAACACAGATTGAAAAAATTGATAGAAACGTGCTCAGTCTACTTGCTATGCCTTAAGTTAATCATCTGAGGAGTTTTGTCCAGTCTCCATCCCTATGGAGCAAAGGTCTCTAAGACGTTTCTCAGTAAGGCAGCCTTTGAGAATACACAGGTGTACATTCTCCACCTCCACCTGTGCTAGTTTTGCATCTTCTCAACACTGAGGCACTGCCTCAGCTACTCGTAAACTCTAGTTCATTGTGTGGTAAGTTTTGAAAAATGACTTAAATTGTAAAACGTTTCATTCCCAGTAGAGAATTTTGCTTTGCAGATAAAATAAGGGCTTATATTTAGAGTTGATCTCCACATTTAATAGAATGTAGCATTTTGATTTCTTCTATATGCAAACATTAACATTCTGATCAGATACATTAATATTTAATACAAAATACAATCACATAAAATCCAATGCATTTACATAATATTTATTTTTCTGATTCTTTTCATTTTGATTTCTAATCTCAGGTTATGTCACTAAATGCCTAACATTACTAAGATTATTCTATTTATCATTTATCTGAAATTATGAAAATACTGGTTTTAACAGTCATTTGAAAATATTAAAAATAAGTATACTTTTTATGATATTATTTTAACAAAAAATCATGTTTTATATACTGAATAAGAAATTTAGATAATTCAGAGGAATTTAACATTTAATTTTAGAAAATTATGTCAGTTAAATTTTCAGTATGTTATCATTTTCTAAAATTCATGCAGAGGTAGACAGTATATGAACATATATTATTTCAGACTATACATTTAATGGTATTCAACATACACCTTCTGAAGAACGTGAATCTATGGGCTGGGGATTTAGCTCAGCAGCAAGCAGACAGTCGTGAGTTTGATCCCTACTACCTATAAAAAAAAGTGAATCTAAAGTATTAAATCATTTCTAAAACCAAAAGAAACCAAGATATATAAAGCCCTACTATTTTATAATTGGACAAATCCTGGAGCCATTTGCACAGTGGACCTGAGTGCTCAGAAATCGTAGTACATGTCATACCCTCTATCAACTAGACCCATAATAAGCATATTTGAGCTAATGAATTAATTAAAGTTTCAGTGATTTGCCCACTGTGGGATCCTTGCTGTAGCTCTCGCCCATGACTTAGTATTACTCTAACCCTACAAGGTGTATTTCTAGATCTAAAACGCCTTGTTAAAAACAGAGCATTTAAATTTAAGCTAAAGCACATTGTTTAACAGTGCCGGCCCAGTTTGTGAAGGCATCTGTACCATTTTATGTCTGGTGCTTTCCATGCTCTTCGTACCTGTGTGGGTATAAATGGCCCGGGGGCTCCTCCCTGAGCTCCGCTGAGTAGTTAAGCCCAGAGGGGCTGCGCTGTGTGTCTCAGACAAGTGTTCCTGGTGACTCCGCAGGTAAAGACCAGATGAGTGAACCAGAGGGCAGATAGGATGCCCACCCCTTCACAGGCCAGCCGGGTTCTGGCTTCCGCCTGAGGAGTTGCGGAGAGCTTCTTCGTCCTAACAGAAAGGCAGGCTCCGTCTCAGGCCCTTGTGTCATTAAAGGGTGCCAGAAAGGAAGGTGGAGGTGGAGGAGAGCAGCTTGCCGGGCTCCGTCCTCAGCTCTGTCCCCTAAAACGTGGGAGAAAAATCACCTCCCACGCAAGCGCACATGCAAAAGGGATCACAAAACATGGAGAATAGATGGGCAAGACTTTGGGCATTGTTAGTTCCATGGAGAACTGTGAGCAAAGAATAAAAAGAGAATACAGTGTGTCTCTAAGAGGGTGAGACCACAACAGGAGGCCCATATGATCTCCACAACCAACAGTCAAGGGCTGGGAAACTATTAGGAAACAGCGTCTTTTAAAATAAATACAGGCTTTCATACATAAATAAGCACGCCTCTGATAGCCTGTGAGCTCAGCATAGCGAGCTACACCAGCAGTCAGGAACATCTTAGCGCTGCTGAGTACAGGTGCTGCTGTGCCGGCGGGCAGTTGCTGTTTCATGCTGTTCCCTGTGAATTTGTCAGCGCTGCATCTGACCTCTCCGGAAACACTCGGAGAGAAACCGGGGGTGGCACTGCACTCCAGGAAAGGCCAGGGGCCAGGCCGATTTTAACTTTAAGATTGAGATGTTTACTGTCCTGAGTGATTTTCCTAAATGACTACTTTGTAGGAAATTTTAATTTACTCATCAGGACATGTGTGAAGTAAAGCACATAAAAACACAATGCAGAAATTAAGATCTTAATGGTCAAAACAAAGTCATACCCAGCAATGTTTAGGCTTTTCATATCTGTGCATGAATTAAAGTGTGTTTATCATGTCACAACATGCTGTCTCATCGTGGCCCAGGTTCTCATTGCTAAATGTGCTGTGCTTCTTTTTGAATTCCCCAGATTGAATACCACAACCTTTGCCCAAGTTTATGACCACAGATATTGAGTGATCTGGAGGTCTCCGAATGAATGATAATCAGTCATTTCCAGGCTAAAAGCTTTCCTGCAGACATAATTGAATAACTGCCACTGTCTCTGGATTTTTCTTTTATATATGACATTTTTTCCCTGAAATTAATATCACTAGAAGAGAAAGCTGATAAAGAACAATAAATTTTTCCACCCAATTCAGTTTAGTACTCGCCAGCATTGATCAGGTAATCTGGAAAATTTTGTATTAAAATGTAGATGCCAACAGTTGAATTATTACTGTGGAAAGAAATGCACCCAACTATCCAAGCCATCAGCTTCTTCTTAGTTGTAGTCCCAAAGCATGGGAAAGTTTGGAAGGACAAAGAGCAAATATCAGGGATAAAATCACACACAATCACTCCGCAAATCATCTGAATTTAGCCCACAGCCAGAATGTTATTTCCACCCTTACTTTTCAAAAAAGAAATAACAGCAATGCACTTCTACTCTTAATTTTTAAAAAAAAAAGTTCCCTTTGGAAGCTGGAAGCTGGGGTTTTCCAAGCTTTTTTGTCTCATTCTGCCTTCTCATTCTGAGAGTTGGATCCCAGAAATTGATTGAAAGCATCCCAGTGTTCAAATTTCAAAATCCCCTTTTCATGATAAACACTCCTTTAGAGAAACATGCCCTGTGTCTTGTGATGTGTCACCTCTTCTGTAACAATCACATGCCTGCGGCTATCTCCCCTCCCGTCTCCATGATGGCTGTGTGCACCTACACCACTTCCTCTACGGCCTCTCATGCATGTCGGAGGACAAGGGTAAGGAGGAAATGACTGCCCTGTGGCCACCCCCGTGAGCTCAGGCCACCACAAAGTCTGAACGAAAGGTTCCCGGCACACAGCTCCTTGTGTGACTTCCGTGACCTCTGCTACCACCAAGGACCATATGCAAGATGGGATCTTCCAGTGAACTTAATTGACCCTAAGTCATGGTTCTTTTGTGTCCTTAGATCGTGTGGCCAGTGTCTTACACCAGAAGAGATGAATGCAAGTGGGCTGGGAAGGACATCCTGGTAAGCCTCAGTCTACTGAATTGTCCTATGATCTCTTAAGCAATGTTTTTACTCTGTTATTGCTGTATTAAATATTCTAGCAAACCTCACACTTGGGAGTCTAATTGCTCTCCAGGAATAAAGTAATGCAGTTTAATTCTAGAAGCACCTACAGTTCCTACAATGTTTACCACCGTGACAAACAGAAGTCATTTGTTCCAGAGCTAAACTTTGTTAGTGAAGTCAGGCAGGCCCAGGGTGAGTTATACCCAAATATCTACACACACAAAAACGTGGTTGTAATTTATAGATAAAATCACTTACAGGATTTGTAGAAGCATAATTGCACATTATTTATATACTGCCAATAGTTTGGAATGTCCACAATGCAAAGAATCCGTCTCAGAGGTTTGTCTGTCAGAAAGTATTGGCGTATGGAAGACACTCACCCTGTGGGCTGCCCCCACCAGACGCAAGCCTGTGTGGATGCTCGCAGATGGGTGGCATCCTCAGGGATTCGGAGCAGCTGCCGCAGCGATGTTTATGTCCCAAGGCTGCGAGGCAGGGTCTGAGTTCATGAAAAAAGTTTGTCCCGTGGAGCAGCAGCAGCCCCAGGTGCAGGGGATGGGCAGGGGGGGCAGAGCACAGGCTGGCCCGGCCTGGATCCCCACCCATGTTATCGGACGTTACAGGCCGAGGGTGGGCAGGATGTTAGCAGTTCTCTTGGCACTAGTAAGACTGGATGACAGGCAGGGAGGGGAGAGAGGTGGCCCCCTTGCACAGGACCAGTGGAGAGTTCCAGCTGGCGGGCACAGCCGGCCAGAGTGAGAGTGGGGAGGGGATGCCCCAGGTAGGGGATTCAGGGTAACCTGAGCTGGCGGGCCCACTGCTGGCAGAGGTCATCCTGCGTCAGGGATGGGGCATTCGCTCTACCTGAGCAGTGGGATTTTTTCCAAGACTGAGGAAGCTAAGACCACTGCACAGCTCCTTGGGAAGGGTCCGGAGGGGACCCCAATGTTCAGAGCAGCACGGTCACCTCTGCAACGGGGCACCTGCCTAGATAGGTGTGGGTTGGGGTGAGGAAAAGTGCATGGGGAGTTATTCTATCGGAGTTCCTGTTACCCCAAACCGATGCGTCTGTGGGGACTTTTAAAGGAGGAAACAGCGAGAACCATGAAGCAGAAGCTCTGGAGGGGAGAGCTGCATGAACCCCATTGAGACGGGCCTTCATGTGGGCCCCTGTGGGCTTTAGTATCTCACCGTGACCTGATCTATGTGATGTCAGAGTTTTCACTGCGAGTTGCGTGTCAGGGTCAGGCACCATGTACCTCAGCAGAGTCGGCAAACTCCGCCTGTCTCATCTACTTCAAGTCCATGAGCATCTAAACGAGCCTGAGAAGCACAGCCAGCTGCTCCTCTTCGGAAGGCAGCAGCGGCTTCCTCATTATGGGTTTCTGCGGCTGCTGAATCACTACATCAGGGTCAGCAACACAGCCCTCAGGGGCCAGGAGAGAGGAGGAGAGAGACAGCCACAGAGACTGAGACTGAGACGGGCACAGGGACAGAGAGACAAAAACAGAGACAGGGAGACTGAGAGACAGAGATGGAGATGGAGAGAGAGAGCTCTATAAAACATGACCAGTACTTCTGGAAATCACACACACACACAGAATGGATCTGCCTTCTATGTGAGTGACTAATCTGAAGCAGTGATTAAACCTAGTAAGTTTAGTGCTTGACTCTGTTCCCCTAATATTGCATTCCATTTATCTATTACTGAAGATATATTTTGTGCATTAACAACACATGTTATTAAAGTTCATCTTACATTTCAGGCAACCTCCTTGAAGCCTTATCTCAGCGTATATATTCGCTGCATTTTAAGGGGCTTCCTGGCATCTTGTGGTTAGTTTAGGGCTTTATTTACACTACTATTTTTGCCCATTTCTTTTTCTATACATGATTTTAGAAATAGTGATTGAATGAATCCCTGGGATTTATGACACTTCTTCCCTGATAATCACTAAAAAATATATGCTGCTATTTACTCTTACTAATAATTTAAATGGCCAATTTGCAAAACAGTTCAGGGGAGAGAACGTCCTTCTCCCAAAGCCTGGTCCGTGAGTGGCGGGTGAGTGGTGGGGAGGTGCCAACCTTGTACAGAAACAGCGGGCAGCCAGGGGCATGGACAGCTGCTGCTCTGAGTGCTCTGAGAGCTCCCACCATGCTGCAAACCACAGGGAGGAGGCTGAAGCAGATTCTGCATAAAGCGAGGAGCGGTCTGGACAGGACGCAAGCTCACCCAAGCTGACCCTCTCTGTGGGCTCTCTGGGTCCCAGAGGGAGGGTTTCCTCGCCCTGGTGACTGCCCTACTGAAAGGCCTCTGGAAATCACAAGGACCAAGTCGTCCGAGGAAGAGCTGTCTGCTCAGAGTTCAGTTCAGATGCAAGATAACAGGGAAAGGGGCGAGGACCCTGGCTGCCAAGAGACATCCCCATGAGGCTAGGCCTCTTCCTTCCTATGTCCCCACCCCCTTACCCCACCACTCCCCCCACAAACCACTGGACTGACCCTCCATAGCTCTTGTCTCATGCAGAAAGTGAGCTCTCCCCACTCACCCACCAGGTGGGAAGATCCAGCCTGTCGTTGCTTTGCAACAAAGATATGCATTAACCCAACAGCTGGAATTCAGGCAGCAGTCCCCCAAAGGGTGCACTTAACAGTGAAGACGGAATCTGCAGCTGGAGACACACAGCTATGCTAAATATATTAAAAAGGATACATGGCCTTGTTGGCTCTGCGTATCATTATGGTGTGCATGTCTCTACAGGTATGCACCACACATGCACATGCACATGCACACACTCACATGTGTACCTGGGGTATATATAGGTGTTTGTTCTGGGCAAAGCATCTCTGACAACATTAAACTGAATTTTCCTCTTGCAAGAGTGACCGTCCAGGATATAGACACAGTCTATATCTGTGTATATAGATATATCCACAGCCTATTAATATGCATGCTGCGGGTTAAGGGTTCTAAGCTTCACTGGGGCTCCTGCATTTCTTTCATTAGAGAAATAAAGTGCTTGTGAACTTTTCCACCGCTAGTAGTTATTTGAAAAAATATGTAAGACATAAACTATTAGAAAGAAACCATGAGTGATAGGATAGATATAACCCGGATATTTGTATGCTGGCTGCTCCTCTACTCTCTTTTTTCCCCCTAGGGTTTAAAATCCACTTTGTTATTCACAATAACATTTCTATAGATGGATTAACTTCCTTGACCTTGTTTTGCAAATGAAAGCCGAATCCGTGCTAAGCTGGTGGAAGAATCTGTTTTGAATCAATAGCTCCCTGCATCCTCTTTGTTTACCCTGCTAAACCGGCTCTCCACGCTGAGTTTCCATAAAACCAAATGGCAACCGTATGACTGCTAGAAATATTTTGAACATCATTAGAAATCAAAATTTCTACCATCTGAGAGGAACAAAATAAAACGCAGCTCCTCCTAACACTCCCGTTCCTGGGCGCCTTTCGAAGTGTGGCATCGCCCTTGCACCTCAACTTCAGGCTGTGTGGAAATTCTGAGGGGTGTTTTGGTCCCCAGCAGTCATTCGCTTTTGATGTGATGATGCACCATAAGGCAAGTGTCACCTCCACACAGCTCGGCCTGCAGAGCCCAGCAGCACTGTGCTTGCCCCTCAAGCAGAGGAGGACACAAGCAGGCTGTGTGTGTCACCTGCAGCTCACTGCAAAACGCACGCTTCAGCCTGTCCATCGCATTCATCTCCTGACTGCTCAAAGTAGATGTCAATTTTCAGTTTTAAAAATCTATTGTAAGCATTTTATTTTATGTTGCAGTTATTTATTTTTGGTTTTCTTGGGAGGAGGTCTTGCTCTATAGTCCAGGCTGGTGAACTCACTAGGTAGCCCCCGCTGGGCTCAAACTCTAAGCAATTTGTCTGTCTCAGCCTCCTGAGTGCTGGGCCCAGAAGTTGCATGTTATTTTTAAGGCCATTCATCAGTGCAGAGCCTGGGGAAATGCAGTGTCCCTCTGAGTATCGGCAGAAACCTTAGGCAGCACAGACAGTGCTCTCTCTGGGACACTCTGGGTCCTGCAGGGAAGGGGACGACTCCTGAGGACTGGAAGCTGGCCAGCCACCTTCCTGGAGACCCAGGTGGCTTCTGGAACTGCAGTTCTTCAGTAAAGCAGCGCACCTGGCAGGAGGTATCCCTGGGCTGGGGCCTGGGGTCTGCTTCTCCCCTGAGGGTCAGTCCCTTCCCCGCACCCACGAGCTGCACGCCCTCCTCCAGCGCCATGACACCATGGCCCTGTCTTACTGCTCAAAGTACAATGAAGTCACAGGCCCCCGAGGGCTCCGGACGACACTGCTTACCCCTGCTGTGGCTCTCCTAGCTGCCCCATGGGTGAGAGGTTCGGTCCAGCTGTTCACATTAGACAGGGTTCCATGGTGGAATCCGACAGTGCCCAGCCACGAAGACAACTGAGCGTTGATGAAAGCCAGGAAAAGCCTTGGCTTTTTAAGCCCCACGGGAAGCAATGTGGATTTTCACAAGCCTGTGCTTGTGTGTGCGCTGTTATGCTCTGGAGTGAATTTAGCTGAGCTGGAGGAAGGACTGTTGTGTCATTTAGCACCCAGGCTGCTGGTGATGGTGGCAGTGACGGTGCCCACTCTCAGGTTTTCCACACCTGGTGGTGGCCAGACGCATTTCTCCCCATTTTAGTTCACAAGGCGCCTGATACTAAGCTCTTTCTTCTCAGAGTCATTCAGTGAACCAGTTGTGTGTTCTGGGGAACGTACATGACAAATGAAACCTTGTCACTAAATTTATTTAGAAGCTAAATTATCGTTATTTGTTGAATTCACATGTTTTCCTAACGAAGCATAAATACTGAGACAGTATCTATGATGCCTGGAACTGCCGTGGGCCAGGTCTCAGATGGTACATTTTTAGTGTTCTTTTAGGTACAGAATTAAAATTTAAAGATA